AGAGAAAGAGAAAGAGAAAGAGAAAGAGAAAGAGAAAGAGAAAGAGAAAGAGAGAGAGAGACAGAGAGAGACAGAGAGAGAGAGAAAACACGTGTGCACACAAGTGGGGGAGGGGCAGAGAGAAAATCCCAAGCAGGCTCTGCATCATCAGTGCAGAGCCCAATCCATGTGGGGCTCAAACTCAGGAACTGCAAGATCATGACCTGAGCCCAAGTGGGGCACTTTACTGACTGAGCTACCCTGGCTCCCCTGGATTTAAATTTTTATTATCAATTTCATGCGGGAACCTTAGTTTCCTTTTATCAAGGGCTGATGAACAATTTCTCTGATTAGTCATACCTCATGCTTAGTAATTAATATATAACAACCTTTTGCAGTTTACAAAATGTTACTACAGCAGGCAAATAATGCCCCTCTCAACTATGTCTGCATCCTAACACTTGTGGAAATGTTGTTACAGCAGTAACAGGAAGCTAATAGTTACTTTTTTCAAAGGAAACATTTAAAATGGAGAAATGTAGTCACACAGGGAAAAACGACTAGTGTATTATTGTAAAGCAAGTTTCAAACACAACATACATGGGAGGTACCGGCTGGGTCATGATATGGATGTGTGATTTTTGGCATTTTTTTCTTCAGAGGGGGCAATAAATAAACCGCTTTATCAAGATTAGCCTGATTGGGAGTGGTGAAGTGAAAACAATTGTCAAAATAAGTAAAATTTGCATTCTTAATTTAGTAAAAAAGACAGGATGCAAATATCACCATACCTCTTTTACTTCTCCAAAAACTATTCCTAGAACTGATATAATTAATAATAAATATAATAATACTCACTGTAAAAATAAAGTACAGGTTCAGATTATGTATTTGCTCTGTTAGGAATCAATGAGTTAAATAAAACTCTTCCATTCAAACATTTAAGTGTTTTCCTCCTTTCTTTATAATTACAACTCCTTTTTGAAAAAGAGGTACTTTCTATATTTTGACACTGCAAAGGGTATATGCAGAAAATGTTATGTTAAAAATCATTTTTTAAGATTTACTTCTCACATATTGACAAAATTAAACTTAACACAAGTCTCCTTAAAAACTTAACAGCTTAAAATGCCAAAAATTAAAAAAAATTCAAACACTGTTATAAAACAATGATGCTAAGAAAAAAATTAAACAACCTATTTTAATTTCCAAAACTGTAGCAAAGTAATAAGAGGAACTTAAATTGTATGTATTTTCCTAAAAGCTCTATTTTCCTGAAGATAACTCTGAAAACTCTGTTGCTACAAAAGAAGAGTTATTTATATGTCTAGTAAGACTGGTGATTTGAAATGGGGAAAGCCCAGGACAAAGACCTGGTAAAAGGCTGCTGGAAAAACAGAAAGTCTGAACAAAGGTGATACAGCCCAATAAATGGAGAAGAAAGTGCAAACCCTAATTCAAATGTGTAAAGCAAAGTACACATTTGTCTTTTTACACATCTGTCTTTTTACTGCTGAAATCACTCTATTTTGAGACTTCCACCCCAGTAAAAAGCATCACATACTGAATCAGAACCCATTAGGCATTGTGCTAGATACTGAAATGCAGTAACAGAAGACATGCAAAGTGGGAGTGAGATGTTTAAGCAGAAAAGCAGTAGACAGAAGAGCTCAGGGTGCAGATGAGGAGGATTAACATACAATGTCATCTAAAGTCTCAGAGATGAGGAGCCTGCCTAAAACAAGACATATGCCAAAATTTAAAGATTGAAGGGTTCCTTAAAGAGAGGCAGTGGCCCTTAGCCTGCAGCAGTTCTCAAACTTTATTGTGCCCACTAATCATCTAGGGATCTTATTAAAATGCAGGTTCTGATTCAGAATCAGAATTATGCCCAGGCTGGGCCTGAGACTCTAAATTTTTAACCGTAGGTGTGGCCAATTGCTGGCTGAGGCTAACATGAGTAGGAAAAGCCTAAAAGAACTGAGGAGGAAAGGGCAGTAACTCAGAAGTCAAGGGAAGGTACAGACTTAAGAAGAAGATCTATTGATACATGTACAAATATTAGAATAAATTATGCTTTATTATATACTTATAGGGAGCTTGTACTATTTCTGTAATCAGAAAAAAAAATAAAGGTAATAAGCACACATGCTTAAACATTCAAGACCTCATGGAATATAGCACCCATGAACCTTTGTTACTTTATTTAAAATAAGCAATGAATCAAAATAAGCAATTTAGAAATGGTGATCTTTTAAAAGGATTAAAGTTAGTTAATGACTCCATTCAAACATGGAAATAAGTCCACCAACCATAGGCATTAGAATTACAAATTAGAATGCAAACAGTATAAACTTTGGCAAAGTGCAATTACATAAACAATAAAAAATCTACAGTGAGAAGTAGTAAAAATAATGGCACAGTCAACCATGTGGAATCTGCTGAGAGGTCAAATATGATCAGACCGAACAGGTGTTCGTGGATTGGCGATATGGAAGTTACTGGTGACCTCTGCAAAAGCAACCTTGGAAATAAGGTCGGTGTGTAAATCAGACCAAAAGAGACTGAACAGGATGCTGTGTAAATTTAAAAAGCATGGCTATAGAAAGAGGCAAGTTAAGAAGTAGCTGAAAGGTCCAGGGTAGTTATCTGCTTGGGTTTTGTTTTTGTTTTTGTTTTGTTTTTCTTTTTTCTTTGTTTTGAAATGGGAGGGACCAGAATATAGTGAATGCTGATATAGTG